AAAATAAATGTATTAGATGCTCATGTACATGCATACAAATTTTAATGCAGGCTTCTTGTTAATACAAAATTTATAACGATGGAATTTAGCCATGATATACTCATTTAATTATTTCATTTATACCCCAATTTTCACCTCAAATTACTATTTAATACAATAAGTTTAGAAAAGCTATCAAATTAGACTATAGAATAAAAATCTTTGCAAATCTTTAGCCAAGTATGAAACATTCATTGCAAAACACCAACACCACTGCAACAACTGTTCATAATTGTGGCGAGAATGGACTATCCTTTGTCTTTTATATGAAGAGGAAGAAAGAATGATATCTTAGAAAACAAGGAAGAAATAGATAGATAAAGAAAGAGAATCTGGATGCCCCATGAAATTTTAGCTTTTGCACCAGTCACTAGTTTATCCACTCTTGCCCATTATTTGTGCAATCTTCTCCTAATTGCTCTTCAAAATATCATTATGAACAGGAAGGCAGGAGAACTAAAGTTGATCTGCAAATACAATAATCTCAAACAATCATTCACTAAATAAACTCATTAGAGTACATTGAGTGCACAAAGAACACACAAAGAATATAATGATTTTAATCTTTTAAAGATTAATGCTTCTTAAACAGTTGGCATAATCTTAGCTGTTCCATAATTGTGAAGGCTGTCGTATCTTTTCTAGTGCAGTCTTTCTCAATCTCAGCAACTCAATTCATCATGATGACTGGGGAATTCTGGGAGTTCAAATCTACATAGCTTAAAGTTGCTAAGGTTAAGAAATAAGTGTCCTGGGGTCAGCATCTCATGGCATAACTTATTGGGTGAAGCTTATAGCTGGCTTTACCATTTAAAGCAGGAGGACTGCAGTGTGGACTGAAATAGCTTTGTTCCTTTACATTTTACATGAATTTACTTCACTTGTTTTCCTAAATCTACTTTGAATGGGAAAAGAAGCCTCCATTTATTCTATTTAGAATTTTGCAATGCTGTTACAAAGCACACTTATATGCTGAAAACTGCAATATTCTGAATGTTGTGATTCAGTTCAGTCTAGAGGACTTAGTTATCAAAAAGCATATGTAAAAAAAATGAGCACCCTATTATACATTTGCATAATTTACGTGAAAACCTGCTCAAAAGTACATTATATTAGGGGAAATAATCTGTAAATTGTCAATGATTGGGGTGGGAAGAGAGAATATAAAAAGTACACAAATTAAGATTATTAGGAAAAAGTCTGTAGGAAAAATGTGCAGAATGCGGAATTAAAAATACAACCTGATTTGGGAGTGAACTGAAAGAAATGCAAACATGGAAAAACAAGAGTTTAAGAATTTAGGGGAAGAAAAGTCTAGCTTCCCCATTTTATTGTACCCTTTAAAATGATTGCTGTTTATAGTATATTACAGAGCACATCCATGAATGCCAACTAGTAGTCAGAAGACAAGATATAAAATCCTTAGCTGCACAACACATGGACAGGCTGAAGCATAATTTCAACTGGGAGACTGGAAGCATCCTAGATCAAGCCAAGTTCAAAAAACCTAGTGAATTCCTAGAAGAGTGGTACTCAAACAAATCAACCATCATCAGGTACACAGAGATACACATTATCTATACATCATTCAAAAGAGACAATCAAAAAGCCAAAAAAGGAAACAAAAAAGCCCCAAATAGTTACTCACCGACAATCAACTACTACATGAGCAAACACCAACACAAGATAAACACTAGACCAACAATCAAGAAGTAAACAATACCCAAACTTATCAAGAGACTACAAAGAAGACTCTCACAGACACCAATAGGGAAAGCCCCTTGTATAGAAAAAGAGAGCAAATCCCATTTCCTTCCAGCATTGATGATATTACCTAGTTTGGTAATGAAATGTCTGCAAGAAAAAAGGACTCCACAATATTCATGTGCAACAGTTCATGAGTAGTTAAAAACAGCAGTAATATCAGCACAGTAATGCAATAGCTTTACAATAGCAAAGTCTGCATCCTAAAAAAAAAAAACTTTAATAATAATAATCACCAATTGCATAATAATTGTTTGACAGTTGTTTTGCCTTGCCTCTTGCCAGCATCTGATTGAAAGAAATAGACAAAAGGAGATTAAAGGAGATTAAAAGGAGATTAATGCCAAGGAGAATGTAGAAAGGAACAATTTGCTTCCCTGATTTATTTCTTTATTTCTTTGTTTTCTCTGCTTGTTTTGATTTTATCTTCCAAAAGCTGTAAAGGGTCACATGGTGCTTATGCAACATTAGAATTAGTGGCAGTCAAGGATACACACATTTCACCTGCCAATATGAAAGAGAGAGGGCTTTGTGGCCACCATCTTGGCACTTTTTTTTTATTAACTCTCCCTGCAGATGCCCATAGCTGCAATCAAAATCACTGGATATTGTTAGTGGTGGTTCTAATTGGGGAAGAGATTCATTAGCAAAATGAATAACAAATGGAGTCATAAAGAGCCAGTTTGGTGTGGTGGTTAAGATGCTGGTCTAGAAACGAGGAGACTGTGAGCCTTTCTTAGGCATGAAAGCCAACTGGATGGCTTTGGGCTTCTTTCTTAGCCCAACTGAACTCATAGGATTTTTCTTGGGGAAAATATTCAGAGGTCTCCAGGTACTGGTCATAGTTCCAAAGACTTTAATCTGGCCCTTCTTTCTTTGATGCCCACTTTCCAAGAAAATTAACACTTTAATCCCAGTGCAAAAATGCTATAAGTTTATTTGAAATGGCTGCTGCCAGTTATGGAATATTGTGGCTTGGCAAGGAGCCACTTCATCCTCTTTGGAAATATCTTACTGACAGCTCATGAATGACAAATGAAGCCTTGTTCTTCTTCCTTTTCTATTGGCATTGTGATTCAGGAGGTCTTTCAGCCTTCAAAGTCTGTGCCCACAAAAATATTTTCAGTTTTTCTTGCCTTCTAAAGAAGTTTCGATCAACTGATGAGTGGGGTGAAACGGATATTAACTTCCTGGAGAAAATACTTCTCTAAGGTTCTCTCACTAACTTTTTTTTTTTAATATTAACTTACAAAAAGGAAGAATGATCCCAGCATGCTTTGAATCATCTGCAAATCTACCAAGGTCTATCGTAGACTTTCCAATTGAATTTTAACATTTATTTCACTCTGGTATCTTTTTCAAGGGCCAGTGTGATATAAATCAAGATGTTGGATTGGACTCAGGATAGCCATGTTTAGGTCTCCAGTTACCATGCATCTCACTGGGTGACTTTGGACAATTATTTTTCTTAGCCCAGACTAACTCCCAAGATTGGTGCTGTGAGGATAAAATGAGAAGTGATGTCATGTATATCTTGAGCTCTATGGAGGAAATGTGGGAGATTAATGTAAGAGAATAAAATAGATTCTTGAACATAGCTCTTATGCAGCAATTTTCTTAAATTACATTGATGAGTTTTCTTTTTCTGTTTATGTTCCTTCTCTTTGACCAAGATAATAGAATTTCATTTAGTTCCTAATAACTCCTAGGTTATGACAATAGATAATAATAGACCAGCAAACACAACACAAAAATCACAGGTAAATAGGATAAAAAGGAAAAATAGAATTGTTCTAAAATATCTAAAAAAGTTTAGAGAAAATATGGCATTCTGTATGAATTATAGGACAGTATTTGGCTATGGTCAAGGAAATAAAATCAGATTGATCCAATTATAACATCTTGAAATAAACCAAATCAGAATGACCAGATTATTTAATAGAGAATAGAAATAATAATTCTTGGCAAGCATCTGCAAAGAGAAGACATTAGAGAATAACAATTTAATAATTCCTCTACCACATGTTCAAAGGGGATTTTTTGGTCTCCTCCTTCAGGAATTGCTGTTGGGAGGGCATTGAATTTTGCTAGGGATAAGGTCCTTCTGAATTTTGGAATACTTGTGTGATTGAGATATCTAACTGGTTGGAGAAGATGTGCAGGGTAACTCAAGAAGGGATTTCTGAGAATTTATTTATTTGTTTAGAAAATGTATATGGGTGCCCACTAATTCTCCATGAGTAGAGCTGGAAACTCTGCTTACAGCTCTAAATCAATGGCCCATTGTTTGAGATCAGCTGCTAGTGCATGTTTATGGTGATGGATGACCAAAAAACCTATAAAGCTGCAATTTGGGATGAATCACATGGCTCCAGGAGCACTAAAAGCTGTCAATCACAATTAAAGCAGCCTGTCAAGCACACATTACCAAGAGCATATGTTGCACTCAAAACAGAGAAGAATTTATGATTGCTACCTCTAATACAAGGACCTCAAGAGGTTCACCTCCTAATAGAATTGAAAAGAACAAACAGATCATTGAGATGTACCAAAGCTGCTTCTTCTAAAGAACGTCATGCATGACAGAGTATGGGAAACCAAGAGGCAACTTCAACTTAGACAAAAACTGTTACATCAGCAAAGAGGGCTGAAAGGTTCTTGAAGCTGGGGTGGGACGAAACCCATGAATGGAATGGACTGATGGATGGATACAAGTTGTTCAAAAGAAACAAGTCTACAAAAAGAGGAGGGAGAGTTGCACTATATGTAAGAGAACACTACATATCCACAGAAATGCACGTGATCAAAGATAAAATCTCTCCAGAATGCATATGGGTCAATATAAAAGAGAAAAAAAGTAACATTACCATAGGTGTATTAACAGGTGAGCCAGGGAAAGGTCTGCTGTGACCAATTAATCGCCTCCTTTGGGCTTTTCCTTTGGGGATGCCTTGAACGAACCCTTTCAGCTGTCATTTTTGGAGTGACATGCGCTAAGCCAGCTGGAAAACTGCCCTCCAGTAGTATTGTTACAACTTAGAATTTGTGCAAATCCTTTAGCAAACACCTTCTCATATGAGGCCATGAATGAAGCTGAAGGACCCGTTCCTTGCTTCTCATAGTCAACAGAGGAAGAGCTCAGGTTGGCTTGAAAGCAGGAAGAGATTGCCTGTCTTCCAGCCAAATCCAGCCTCAAAATGATCCAGGTTCTCTTGGTAACCATATGCTTAGCAGTTTTTCCATATCAAGGTAAGATGTTCTCTTTGGTTCCCTTGTTCAGATTATTACTGCTAAAAGTCTATGACACCTAACAAATTTCTATGGTTTTTCTTTGGATACTGAACCAAAATTTGCTCCACTTCAGTTTCTATAGACTTAGCAAAATAATGCTCTCAAAGATAACATAAAGTTACATAAATGGTTTTTTGATATTTGCTTACATTTTGTCAAACCACGAACAGATCCTAAGAAAGAAAAGGATATTCTTTCTTATCCTAAGATACTCAGAAGAAAAGCTCATTCAAGATGGAGAGAAAGTTTTTCAATAATGTGAGTTTAAAAAAAAAAGATTATAAGACTGAAGAGAACAGAGAGACAGAGATTATGGCAAAAAAAAATTCAAGAAGCAAAATGTTAATGAAAAATAAAATGTTTACAGTTTTAATTTTCTTTCAATAGATCAATTAGACATAATATGTAGCCAAACAAAAGCTAGTGCTATTGTTGTTACAGAGAATATTCAAACTGTGCTCAAGGTAATATGACACTAACTTTTCTCAATGCAAGATTTTGAATTATCTTAAATTATTTCTTCCCTCCTTCCCTTTTACGCTGCAAAAAACCAGGGAGATTCCCTTCTGAAATTCTTCCCATGTTCTCCTTCCTTCTGTGAGCTGTGATACCTTTTACATGCCAGTTGATTAGTTTGTTGCCCTTCCTCCTTTCTCCCAAGTCATTCCCACATATCATTACAAGCAACCCAACACAATCGATTCACATGGTTGCCAAACACAATTAAAGGTTAGAAGCTCACTGGGGTAGCCCTCTTCTTTTTAAAGCAAGAATAGATGGGGATGCCCTTACCAGATGGCAGCTTCCAAAATTAGAACAGTAATTTATGTAGAACGATATAGGAAAGAAGAAAGGGAGATGGAAGGGAAATTGCTGCTTATTCTGTGCTCTAAGCAAGAGAGGAATAGTATGTTTGTTTGCTAGTAGGTGGAGTTGAACCTCTCCCATGATTCTGGGAGCATCAGGTACACATGGGTAGGTACATAAATAGCTATGAGGAAGATGTATTCTTCTGTCTGGGGCTTCCGTTCTCAGCTTATCAGTCTGAGAAGATACTGTATATTCCCAAGGCCAAATGCTAATTCTGCCTCTCTCTCTCTCTCTCTCTCTCTCTCTCTCTCTCTCTCTCTCTCTCTCTCTCTCTCTCTCTCTCTCTCTCTCTCTCTCAATTCTGGAGGTGTTTGGCTAGCAGTTTTTTCCCCAAACCTTATGGAAATTGATATTTCAGTTTATTGTTTTGTTTCCATTTGCAACTATAAGCACAAAAATCATATATCCAGAAGTACTGTAGGTGTTGGACTGCCATATTTACAAAATAAGTTAAGGAACAAATAGCAGGTGACCATGCAATGTCCATAAATCTAAGTTTTCCAACTGTTGGTCTAATTCTGAAATAACTAAATCTGATTATGTACATGTTGTTTGATGCCCCAGTGATAACTATGATGCTGTGGACTCTCCATAGATACTTTTGAAAGTGAAAGAAAAGAAAGTCAGCAAAATTATTAGGATGGCAGTGAAATAGCAGTTCAACTGAAAGGAATTCCTAATAAGCTATATTTGCATAATAAGCTATGTTTGCCTAGCTTTTTGACTAATGGATATGCTAAACCATAATGTAGTATGGTTTACTGAGTTGTATGAATCACATTATTTTGATTTACTGTTTCGGGTGTTATCCTTATCACACAGTACACAAACTTCCAGATTGGTTGAGATTTATTTATTTGTTTTTCTGATTATTCAAGCTCCAAAATGTTTCTTTTGCACCTGCCCAAAGCAATGTCTCCAGTTAGACTTCTAGCTCCCAAACATCATTCAGCAAACTGCATTCCCAGAGAAAATCTGGATTTCTGTGCAGTGTCCCACTAGAAAAAGATTCCATTCTTCACTGATAACTGAATAACAAATTGTGTTGTGGATGTGAGAATGGTAGAATAACATCCCAAAGTAAACCAAACCTTTCTTTTCTTTTTCCTTACGAAGGGAGCTCTATAATTCTGGAATCTGGGAACATTAATGATTATGAAGTAGTGTATCCACAAAAAGTCACTGCATTGCCCAAAGGAGCAGTTCAGCAAAACGTAAGAAAAAGATCTTTGTTTCATCAACAAATTATTTCTTGTCAGCTCACAGAAAGTTTGATATTCCTTTGCTGCCATCTAACGGTTATCTGGATTTCGCATTGCAATCTAATGTTCCTGCTTGAATTATTTATGTATTAATTAAACAAATTTATATGGCCGCCCAATTCACACAAAATTGAGGAGACTCTTCGTAACTTAAAACAGAATTTCCTAATATGTATAAGTTAGTATAACTGATAAAGTGTTGGGAGACACCCAGCCGTAAAGTGAGGAGAGATCAAGCAACGAATTAGTCATTTCATAGCTGCAACAGATCCAGCTCTCCCCGCCCCCTGGAAATTCCATTAAAGTTTATCTATTTGTTCTGAAGAGAAGGGAAGCAGTCTAGGGAGATTCCTGTATTATAGGCAGAATACAATAAAGTAGTTGATTTAAACTCTATGTGTGTGGATCTGGTTACTTATGCCTAACATAAATTTACTGTTAATAGGCAACTTTGAGGGATTTCTTCTTCCTTTTTATGTTCTTGGGTCATCCTTCATAAAAGATGATGGGCAGCTGTGACAGCTATGAACCATGAGATATGAAATTATCCTTTCTAGCTTCCCAGAATGCATCACTTTGAAATATAAAAGTTGTGTTTCTAGGTGAAGATGGTATAGTGGTTACAGCTCAAGATTAGGACTAAGTACCAAATTCAAGTCCATCACTGGATGACTTTTGAGTCCGTCTCTCTGTCCCAGCATAACCTCATTCACCAAGATGTACAATTAGAGAATGAGATCTTGAACTTATGCAGGAAAGTTCATTTAAGAACTTACAGTTCAAAGCACCAGATGAGATACTCTAAATCTCATAAATAGTCTGCTTATGGCAAATTATTTATTAGATTTGAATTGATACAGGTGTAGAGTTGTTAAGTGGGTGCACATTTTATTTGCCTAATTTTTTGAAAAACTAAACCCTGAACTCTTTGCTTTTCAGTATGAAGACACCATGCAATATGAATTTAAAGTGAATGGAGAGCCAGTGGTCCTTCACCTAGAAAAAAATAAGTATGCTAACTCAGAGGTTCTCTTAACTTTATTAGGACAATGTGGAAAATGTATATTCCTGGACACAATCTAAGAGAAATAATAATCGCATTCCTTTGTTTGGAAATTAAATTAAATGTCACTGTGTAGGAAAAATGGATATAGTGATTGAATATGTTAATTATATCTTATCTCAGAACTGAGACTTTTTTTACTCCTGCTTTCCTGTAGTACACTGCTGGACCATAACAATTTTAGACAAAGTTGAACCATTCAAGGCTCATAACCTTCTAGCACTTGAATTAACTAGGTTAGTTATGAAATATTGCAGAGATTTTAAAGTGATTGCTTATGCTGCTTCACAGATGCCCCGTCAATCTGAATAACATTTCCTAGGAGGCCTATATAGCTGCTCAACTTACATCAGAATTTATATGTTAAAGCGTAAAAGGCAGGAAATGTCATGTCCTTTTAAGGACCGAAAGGAGACATGACCGAAACAGGCCCCAATTTCACTACACTTTTTAAAAAAAAAAAAATGCCATGTGAGTCTTCTCAGAGATGTTCCATTTCAACTGTAAATTAAGATATGAATAAAAATATTATGCAAATGTAAGCCACCTGACTTATATTTGCATAATAACTAACCATTGAAACGAGTTTTTGCTCTTTCACTGACTCATCTAGCCAGGCCTTAAAAAAATATTGGCAGCTTTGTTTCACTTTGGGGAACAGAAATGGAATGAAACTATTTTTCAGAAGAAAAGAAAAACATAGCTGGAAGGGACCTTGGAGGTCTTCTAGTCCACCCCCCTGCTCAAGCAGGAGACTATACCATTCAATAGCTGTCCAGTCATTCCTTGAAAACCTCTAGTGATGGAACACCCACAACTTCTGAAGGCAAGCCATTCCACCGATTAATTGGTCTCATTCTCAGGAAATTTCTCTTAATTCTAGGTTGGATTTCTCATGTGTAAATAAACCACGAACACCACTAAAAGAAAGTGTGCCATTTTCATTACCCTGAAACCTGTAAATGTCATATTGCAGTTTAAATTAGTATGGCAGCCACTAAACTGTAAACAAGTCTCGGCAACCTGGTGCAATTTAATATTGAGATACATAGTTGGAGCATTGGGATTGACTGTCTGGCTTTGATTATAAAATGTATTTTAGTTTTGACCACATTATATGTGCCTCCAAATGTATATTGCTTTTATTATTAAGTATAAGCTACAAAGAAATTACCCTATATGTATCTGTGTATCACTTTATCTTATACTACTGGAGATGCTAAATTCTAATGTGCGCTTTAGAAGTTCTAGTGTCTCCTTTTGTTTTGTTTAAATATGAAAGCTGTATGGAATTTCAAGGGTAGCATCTAGATGCTCTTGTTTTGGCATGGAAGCAAAGCAGGACTAGAGAAGGAAGACCAGCAAGGAATATCTAGACTGGAAAAATAGAAGGCAATGCCAAGTGTATAGATGTGATACCAGGAATGGAAAGTGACTCCATACATTGGTTTAAAACTTCAAGAGAGATGCTTCTGTATGAAGGTTCACGGCATTTATTTCCTTGAGGTTCCTTCAAATTATTCTAAAGTAAATAGAGCTATACTGTTCTCCTTTATAGACCCAGCAGTTCCATGAGACTGTTGTATAGACTAGAACAGGGGTCTTCAAACTTGGCCCTTTTATGACTTCTGGACTGGCTGAGGAATTCTGGGAGTTGAAGTCCAAGGGCCAGGTTTGAGGACCCATGGACTAGAAGAATGAAAAGAAGACACAATACAAAATGTCTTCTCCTGGTCCATCATTCTCCTCTGAGCCTTGATGAAGAGAATTGCACAGCTTCCTTAGTGTAAATATCTTTCTTCAGGTGAATCTAGTATGCACAGCCCTCTTAAATAGCGCTCTTGATGGGATTGAAATACCTGCTCATTTCCTTTGATACCAAAGAAGATGCTTAAAATGCCACTATACGGTAGTTGTAAACCTATTATAAAATTATCTCTGTCCTACTTAATTCCTGAGATAGATATTCTCTTTTTTCATTCTTTCCAGAGGACTTTTTTCAGAAGATTACAGCGAGACTCATTATTCCCCTGATGGCAGAGAAATTACAACATACCCCTTGGTTGAGGTAGGGTCTCACTTTTAAGAGTCTTGCCTTTAGGAAATAAATTGAAATGAATATTTGTCCACAATATTACAAATATACAAGAACGAGACCAGGCTACTCAAAAAAGAAGGGTTATATATGTATGAAGTATCTTATATTGATATGTATGGATCGTTAAACCCAGATTGTTTTACTTATTGAATTACCGGGGCAATATTTCAATCATTTTCTACTGGTTAAAAGCCAATATTTTGGGGATTGAGTTTCACAAATAGATTTATTATGAGAACATCAGGTTTATAAGATCTATATTTTCATTTTTAAACCAAACTACAGTCTTTTATTTGTAATACCAAAAGTGAGATAAATTCACTTTGCTCCTATACAGAAATCCATATAATATCTTTCATATTAAAATGGTCCAGAACGTGGCCCTACCAGCTGCAAAAAAATTACAGCACTAACATGCTTCATGAAGTCCTTGGCTCCTTGCCCCCAAATTGATCTAAACATGCATCCTCTGTCTCCAAAAAATATCTACTTCTGGCTTAGCATCTTCAAAGTTCATACAAATTGTTCCTACTTAGTGTGTAACAGAAATCTTTTGATTTTAATGTCTGCATGGATCCTGCTTCCAGATAATGTTAGGAATCATATCTCTCTGTATATTCTGAAAGCTTTCCTTGTGTGAGCTCAAGAAAATAATGACTATTTGGTATCATTAGTAAAAATAAATTTTTCAGTAAGATTTCAGAATGTAGGACAAACATCAAGTCTAAAATTTCTTCAGCAAATCCTGTGGTTCAGCACTAGAGTTCACCTCCAAGAAAAAATTTTATATTTTTGTGTTGGTTATCTGCCCAAGCAGGTCGTCTGTCCCCCTGAATCAAAATTTTCTGAATAACTGCTGTCTTAATATTTCGTTGATGTTGTGGAATACATTGGAACTGTACTTCTGCTCATCAAATCACACTGCAGACCAGCTTTAACCAGTGTAGTCCTCTTGTCTCCCTCCAGGATCACTGCTATTATCATGGACGCATCCACAATGAAGCTGACTCAACTGCAAGCATCAGTGTATGCGATGGTTTGAAGTAAGATAGTCTCTAATATTTTATTTATTTTATTAAAGAATAATATACTGCTCTTGGAGTTGTCACAGTTAAAATGAAGGACATCAGTTTTTCATGGAAATTAGTTGGGTGTGATCCAAGACTTCTGCAGAATTAAGAAAGACTTTGGTTGAATACCAAGAAGAGCTGCTGCCAGTGAGTAGAGACACTAGGGAGCTAAATCAGATCTGTCTAAAGGAACTTCCAAGCCCCTGTGTCCTTTACATATAGGAGGTGATGTTACAGGTAGAGAAGATAAGTAGGTTTCAGATTGCATACCTTGCTAGAAAGTGTATAGGAAGAGGCAAGCAGACTCTTCAGTTCTACCCAGAAACACTTTCTTGAGCCACTCTGCACACCTTCTCCAACCAGCTTAGCCACTTAAAGATCCCAAAATTTAGAAGGTCCTTTTCATTAGTCAGAATCAACGCCCTCTCAACATCTGTTACTGAAGGAAGATACTGAAAGATCCCCTTTGAACAGAGTCTGTGTCCATGCAGTGAAAATATGGAACACAGCAGAATAACAACAGAATAATAAAGGAAAAACAGGATGACCAAATAACAGCATTGGAAGGGACCTTGGAGGTCTTCTAGTCCAACCTCCTGCTCAGGTAGGAGACCTATATCAATTTAGACAAATAGATGTCAGTCTCTTCTTAAAAATCAGAAGTGATGAAATACCCACAACATCTAAAGGTAAACTTTTCCACTGGTTAATTGTTCCAACTGTAAGAAAATTTCTCCTTAGTTCTAAGTTGGTTCTCTCCTTGATTACTTTCCATCCATTGCTTCTTCTCCTGTCATCAGATGATATGGAGAATAGGCTGTTCCACACTTTTTTGTGATAGCCCCTTAAATATTGAAAGACTATCATGTCATCTCTACTTCTTCTTGTCGTTAGCCTGAATGTACCCAGTTCCTGCAACCATTCATCATATGTTTTAGCCTCTAGCTCCTTGTTAGTCTGCATTGTTATTCATGTTATTCTGTATTGCCTTCTCTATAAAGATGCTTGCCAAGAATTGTTATTTCCATTCTTTATTAAATATCCTGGTCATCCTGACTTTTATCTTAAATTACTACCAGATCAATCTGATTTTATTTCCTTCCTTCCAGTTATATTTTTTTCTGTTTTTATCCTAATTAATTGTGATTTTGGGGTTCATCTGTTGGTCTATGGCTGAATAAAGATTTATTGATTGAGTGTATGAGAGGGATATATATATTTACAAGATATAAAGTATTTCACCCTTATGAGATAAAGTTTTACACAAAAACAGGATCTTTCAAATGGCTTTAGTCTTGCATTTGTATAGCTAGAAACTTTATTTTTTTTAACATACTAGGAAATATGCAATGTTGGATTCCATACCAAAGTATCTCCAAACAAATATTGTACAGATATTTTGTGGTTGCATTGAGTGTGTGAAATCTCTTATATCTTTTTGATCATAGCTGTATCTTTGAGATGTATGAGAAAAGGATATGAGTGCTGAGTAAAGAAAATAAAAAATTCAGTGGGTGTTAAGAAGGGATTCAGAAACACATAGAATGTTGACTTGGTTAGTTAAAAATGGGTCTCAGAGCTGAGTTTCATTACCCAACTAGGTAACATCATCAGTGCAGGTTATCTCTGAATTAACAATATTTTCTTCTGTTGCTTCTCCATCTCTGATCACCCTTTTCCACATTGTTTTACAGAGGACATTTCAAGCTTCAAGGGGAGATGTACCTTATTGAACCTTTGAAGTTTTCTGACAGTGAAGCCCATGCAGTCTACAAATATGAAAAAGTAGAAAAAGAGGATGAGGCTCCCAAAATGTGTGGGGTAACCGAGACTAATTGGAAATCAGATGAGCCCATCAAGGCTTCTCAGTTAGTTGTTACTGCTGAAGTAAGTCCCATAGTAAAAACATGGTTTGAGAACAGGGATTCATTTACTTGTTTCTAAAATGTAAAGTAAGAGAGAAATTCTTTGGGGAGGGGTGATTAGATAGAATTCAAAAGGGAGGAGACCCTATTTCTATTTTTTTTATTCTAGCCATGGTATAAAAGAAATAATGGAAACTTGATGAACAGAAAATACACGTTCCAGGCTTATAGCATTTTCTTTAATCATACAAACTTAATTTGGAGATTTGAATCAAAATGGATTTAAATGAATCTCCAAATCATCTCCACTTTCTAAATCAATTTTAAAAAATCAAATTATCAATTTGGATGCCTCTTTTATGCATGCAGAGAGGACTTGGAATGGGGGGGGGGAACTTGTTTGAAATATTTAACTATTTTGAAATGTCTGATAAGACCATTACATAATCTTGACTCCATTTTCCAATTTCATTTGAATCATCAAGTTGGATTGATGCAATGACTGAATGAAAAGTGCCAAATTGAATCTGGTCACAATTGACCCTCATACTCCCAATATTTTCCTCCTTTACTGGAGGAACAAAAATTAGAAAACAAAATGTTGCATCCAAAGTAACAGTTCTTTCCTTTCCTTTTGGTGACATAAGTTGAAACTGGCTGAAATATATCTAGCAATTCAAAATCTCAACTTTTTTTATTAAAATGTTAAAATTGACATGGAACAACAGTTGTTGTTACAATAGAATACCAAAAGACAAGTGAAGATGTCAAAATTGATTGTGAAATCTGGTTTGCCTTTTGGCTTCAGTGTTTCTAGCAATTCAAGTTTCTGTATCCTCAGCAAGTTGTGGTTATTTATGCTTAATTGGTCCTTAATTGGTCCTCTATCTTGAATGTCCTTTTCTCAATGTCAGGTCATGATCACTTTATTCAAACTGGATCTAGTGCAGCAGAGTTAAGAAAGTGGCTGTCAGAGAGCAAGGAGAGAAATTGCACTCTGGAATTGGCAATTTGGCCTTGTAGTTCTGTATGCTGAAAAAACACGAGTACACTTTCCTAGGGAAAGAAGCAAGTAACGCACCCTCACACATTCAGGTCTCAGCATAAGTCTACTTCCTGAGCAATCTGGGTCCTCCAGTGGTGGAATCTAACGGGAATGCAGGAGGGAGGGGCTCTTTCCCAGGGAAATAAGAGGCAGATCAGCAATGAGTCCTTGGATGGCAGAAAGAAGCCCCGAAGGGATCCTCCCTAAAACCTTCACAGGGTGTATCTCATGGTTACACACAGTGTGCTTTAGTCTGGCAAGATTCCCGTCTATACGAGAACAGCAATAAAGAAACAATTCTGAACAATTAACCATGTTTTCTTGTTCCTTCTGCCTGAGAAGTCTGAAACAATATTTCAGTAATCATTTTATAATTACATCAAAAGAAAGGCATAATTATTTGGCCATTAAGAGTGAGTTCAGTGGGTCAAAATGTCTGATTGCCTCCCCTTACCTTGTCTTTGATACGTAGTGTGATATGATTGCAGGCAAGGTCTAATTGGTTCCATAGAATGACCACATCATCATGTTTCTCATGTGATTGGTTGGGATGCTTTGTTTGAGAAGGAAAAGGAAAGGTGAGAAAGTCATTGGAGCATCATTTAGACAGGCTGAAAAACAGGTCAAAGAGAGCAATTTCCTCACGTGTCTGTTCTTATTCCTATTAAATTCGGTTCAGAATTAGGTATTCATATATAATTTATCTTTAAATGTAGGCATCATTAACTGGAAACAAGTGTCATACCTTATTAATACAAAGAAAGTGACTTTTTAAAAATGAAACCACTTTTGTTTCTGCTTGACAATCCATTGCATAATGTATTTTTTCCTCAAAACTTTGTCAGCACTTTCCCTAAGTCAGAGTTCCTCAACCTTTCCAGTTTTGCAGACAGGTGGGGGAGGGGATGGTTCCACATGAGCAGTGGGGTTATGCGTGCACCCAGATCTATTTGTGTGAGCAGTGGGCACACCCCCACTCATGCAAATGGAGCACACCCACCCATGCTTGCTCACCGGTCATGCAAGTGGAGATGCAAGCGCTCACCTGCCACTTCCATGGCCCGGTTCCGAAAGGCTCAAGGCCCAGGGATAAAATTTTAACAAGCTGTCTCCCTATAAATGTCTTCTTGAAAGAACCAATATTTCTGAAAGTTCAAGTATTTTGACCAGAGATTAAAACAAGCACTTTTCTGATTATCTGATGATGACCAGCGTTCCTGTTGGTTGCTGGGAGCAACATGTCTAAACAGGCTTTTCTTTATTGTTCTCTTTAGGAACAAAGATACTTGAACACCAGAAAATACATTGAGCTTGTCATAGTTGCAGACAATGTAATGGTAAGTATCCTGGATATCTCTCCATTTTCTTTCTGCATTGAGCACAGCATTTTGTTTCTGCCTTTTTTAATGTGGGCATTTTTGAAGATATTAACAAACATCCTAACTGGCTTTCTCTTAAAATGTGTTTTATCATAAACTTTCATATTTTTTGTTATTGGACCCAACCAACATTTACAAAATTAAGAGACATTTGCACATTTGTTCTTCCTGGATACCATCTAAATTTATTTTTATCCAGCACTGGTTAAACAGTTCTGTAGATTTCTTTGAAGCATCCCTGCACTCTTTTTTTATCCAAGTTGACAACACATGAAGAAAAAGATGTATAGTGAAGAATGCTTATCTCATACATCTCTGAACATGGAAATATAGCATCCAATTTAGAAAAGCATTTCAGTAGGCTGACTAAAATTTTCTCCAACCAGAAAAAAGCCCATGTATGCTGCTGAAAAGTTAAAAATCTTTAATATATTAATGGCACAAACGTAGATTAGAAAATCAGCAATCTGCTTGGATAAAAATTATTATTACATCAGCAAATTCAATGATCCTTTCACTGATCTGTTCTTTCTCTCCCTCCTTCTCTCCCTTCTTCCTATAATTATGATCTCAACTTTTTTTGTCTTTTCTGTAGTTCAAGAAATACACCAGCAATTCAACTGCTATAAAAACAAGAATATATGCACGTGTCAACACTTTAAATCTGGTAAGAGGACATGGCAAATATTATTTCGCTTGTTGATTTTAAACTTCTCTCAGCCCCAGCCCAGACTTTCACTGTGTTCACACAACATTTAATCAGGTAAAGAGAGAGAGAAGATGGATTTCTACAAGAATGCTAATTTTTGTGGCTTTGAGTGAGTTAAAACTAGGTCATTTGGCCAGCTGGTGATCCAGCATGTGAGGCCATCTCAGAAAATGGGTTAATTCAGTAATTAAGTTAATAAGCCTCTTATGGGAATACAGCCACTGTGTTGGGAGGATGCAAATCCAAAAGTGTTGCAAGAATTCAGTCAGAACTATATCTGTAGCTGGATTCTTTCAGGCTGTGGTTAATGGTTCTGATCCTGGAGATTAGAAAGAGATGGACAGAATCAGCCTATTCCAAGCTCAGTTGATAATGAAACTGATCCCTGAGAAGAAACCTGGAGAGAGGAACTCAACTTGACGTGGATTGTGGTACTTAGGAGGAGATACACCCGTATTGCAGTCTTCTGTTAGCCGTATTTACATTTTCACTGTTGATGATTAGTTAGAAGCAGGGAGACAACAGGAAGATTGATGAGTCAACTCTCATCAACATTATTATTATTGCCCAATATATAGAGTCCTTAGTGCTGTCTGAGCTTGGTGGTTTCCTTGCAGACATTTCATTATCTGACTACTCCACATGAGTGAGCAAAGCAGCAAACTCAGAGAGCACCAAGGACTTCAACCTTGAGCTCCAGAGATTTCTCTTCTATTGATGCCTAGATCTATTTTTTTTCACATGCCCATAGAGGCCAATGTCAGTTGCTTTTTAATCTTGAAATGTTTCTCAAGGTTTACTTGTGTTTGAGTTTCTGATTGATGCCATGTCCACCTGACAGATTTTCAGAGCTTTCAATATTTATATAGCACTGATTGGCCTAGAAATTTGGTCCAACAAAGATTTTATTAACGTGCAGTCAGCATCAAAAGTTACTTTGGACTTATTTGGAAACTGGAGAAAGACAGTCTTGCTGAACCGCAAAAGACATGATAATGCTCAGTTACTCACGTAAGTCTCATTGTGGGGAAAGGGAGTGGGGGTGGCCGGGAGTGGAGGGTTATGGGGAGGTTAGTGCTTGCACAGAGTTTCTGCTCTATGCTCTATGCTTTAAACCATGTGTGAACTATGTTTCTGGGTCAAAGTCAACCACTTATTTTTTTGTAGATGAGTGCTGGTTTTGAGAAGTCCTTGAATGACTGCAGGTGAAAAACCCAGCTTGATTTGATTTCACATGCATTTAAAATTGAAACTCAAATGATTATAAATAACCCCACAGTTAAATTGATAGACAAAATCTATTAAATAAATATGTATTTGGGGTTTGCATAGTTAATGGAATTAAATTAACCCAATGGGCTGCATTCAGACAACATGCTAACCCCTCTCCCCAACCTCATTCATGCTAACACCAGACTCACCATACAGTGAAAATGCATCCTGAATATTTTTAACAGACCTGATTAGTTAAACGTCTTCTGAGACTAGAGCCTAAAATGAATTCTAATGTTCTGAAAACTGGTAGTAACTGAGGACGGGTCGAGGGATTTGCAGAAAGCCATAGTTATGTCTGCTCTAAGACTACAGAACGTGCTTCTATCTTCTATCAATTTTATCCCCCTCCCCGTCTTTGTTATAGGGGGATTGACTTTGATGGACCAACTGTAGGAAGGGCTTATGTGGCCAGCATGTGTGACCCGAAGGATTCTGTAGGAATTGTTCAGGTTAGTAGAAAGGATACCTGTTATCTATTTGTACTCAGATGAAAACTTACATACAGGCAAAACTTCTTTACAAATGAAGTCTCTTCTTCTTTTTGATCCACGTCATTTTCATCCACATTTATTTATAGATTTGACATCTCCAGGTCCTGCCTCAACTGATGGCATTTTGGTGCAATCCATTCTAGAACAAGCTTTTTGTATGCAATGAGCTATATGTCAAAGATGACAATATATTATATATTATGTTTCTGGATCAGGAGGAGTCAAACCGTGCTCTAATTGGCAAATGAGCAGGTCAAATCCTGTTACAATACTTCCAAATAATGCATCTGAGTAATATTCTTAGCAATCCTAATGACCAACATGAGTCACCTTTCTTTCATTCCAAGAAATTTAGATTGCATATGACTGAATTATAGTATATTGAGAAAATGAGAGAATACTAAATCTATTTAAAAAGAAAAAACTCCAGTATTTTAAGATCCTGCAAGAAAACCATATTATTTAAATTGATCCTATCCATTTATTGAGAAACAGTAAACTTAGTTTTTTGTTCATGTAGAAAAAATTGAACAGGCAATAAACAAAACTTAAACAACAAATTTCATAAAGATTTGTTTCTTAATAGCAGAGTTAGGATCCTAGTAGTATGAGGTAATCCTAAGCCTGTTTGCCCGAGAAGGTCATTTTATTCAGAAAGACCAACTCATTCTTAAGTCTGTTTAGGATGGCTACCTTCAATATTCTGAAAATGCGAGCTTGTAGCAAAAGACACTGAGTAGTTTTTGGACTGAAGTTGCCTGTAAGTTTTAGTAACTGAATAAATGTAGACAGCAAATGGATGCATAAGTTTTTATCTTCTCCTGTGCTGTAGCTTCTGGGCTTTAAAGTTTCCTTCTGGATATATTTGTGTATGTTCTGCAGTTTTGGTGGGCATACATACATTCAGAAGAGGTAGAGGAATCCTAAATTGGTCACTTAGTCATCAGTTTTAGCCACTTAGTGCTAATAATAATTGGATTTACTTTCAGTTTCTTGATGGAGTAACAATAAACAAAGTGTTCTCTTTTCTTTAGGATCATAACAAACTAGATGTTATGGTTGCAATCACAATGGCCCATGAGCTGGGTCATAATCTGGGCATTAATCATGACGGAAATCAGTGTAATTGCGGTGGTAACCCATGCATCATGTCTGCGACGCTAAAGTAAGCATTGACGAAAACTTTTAATGTCTTTCCAATCAAGTTATTTTTAAATGGTTGCAATTGTTAAATTAAATATGCTGAGAACTTACACTGTTCCAATATCTCAGAGGCTGCCACATAGAAGAGGGAGGCAAGCTATTCTCCAAAACACCTGAAGGCTGGACAAGAAGCAACAGATGGAAACTGTAATGCTCTATACATGGGGCTCCCTGTGGGGAGCATCCGGAGACTGCAACTGGTCCAGAATGCGGCCGCGCGGGCGGTGTTGGGAGGGACTCGTCGCTCCCATGTAACACCGCTGCTGCGCGAGCTGCACTGGCTACCAGTGGCTTTCCGGGTGCGCTTTAAGGTGTTAGTTACCACCTTTAAAGCGCTCCATGGNATATTTGGTTTTTAATAGGTTTTTATGGGGGGATGATGTTTTAAGTGTTTTAATATGCTGTAAGCCGCCCTGAGTCCTATAGGGAGAAGGGCGGCATATAAATCCATGTTAAATTAAATTAAAAATTAAATTAAAAATCAAGGAGAGAATCAACCTAGAACTAAGGAGAAACTTCCTGACAGTTAGAACAATTAACTAGTGTAACAACCTGCCTCCAGAAGCTGTGGATGCTCCAACACTGGAGGTTTTCATGAAGAGACTGGACAGCTACTTGTGTGGAACAGTATAGTGGTTCCTCTTTGAGCAGAGGGTTGGACTAGATAACCTCCAAGGTCCCTTCCAACTTTATCATTATCATTATCATTATTAAAATGAAATGGTCAGGGAGTTACAAAAAAAGAGGGTTTGGGTCATTTGTGTGTCACTTTACCATGTGTAGTTAAAATGTGTGGTATTTAAAAAGGTAGAACTGTTCTCAACAATTGAATAGCCATCCTTCAGTAGCTTCCTCCAAAACACCAGAGTTTAAAGAAACAGCGTAGGAAGCATAGCCAAAGAAACCAAATATTAATATCTGTGATGGATAAAGAGGAAACCAAGTTAGATGTTAAAGACTTTCCTAAAGTGGGAAGCAGAATGGGAAAAAAAATATTCTGAACCAGGCAACAGCAGGAAGAAAACGATAAATTAGCATCCTTGGGGTTTTCCTGCCTCGCCCTTTCAGAATCGCAGAGTTGGAAGGGACTTTGGAGGTCATCTAGTCCAACCCTCTGTTCAAACAGGAAGCCCTATACCATTCCAGTCAAATGGCTGTCCAGACTCTTCTTGAAAACCCCCAGTGTTGGAGCATCCACAACTTCTGGAGGCAAGTCGTTCCACTGATCGTTTTCACTGTCAGGAAATTTCTCCTTATTTCTAGGTTGGATGTCTCCTTACTTTTTCATCAGGGTAGAATATGTTACATCTCTGTCATATATTGCAGTCTTCTGAAATCAACAGGTAGCAATGTACAGGAAGTCATTGACTTACAACCATTTGTTTAGCAACCGTTCAAAGTTACACTGGCCCTGAGAACAGTGACCTACTACCGGTCCTCGCTATTACAGCCATCACAGCCTCCCTTCAGTCACGGAATCAGAATTGGGGCAGTTGGTGACACCCACGTGTGTTTATGACGGATGCAGCATTGTGCATTCATGGAATCTTCATTTGTGACTTTCCCAGCTGTCTTCCCATATGCCAGGGGTGTCAAACTGCCACCCCGTGGGCCGGACATGTCACGAGGAAACTGCACCCACCCTATTGCCGGCAATGGGGAAAAGGTTCCAATACATCACGCAACGTCATGTGATGTCGCAAGTTTGACATGTCAGCCATATGCAAAGCCAATGGAGCAAGCTGGGGGTCTCTTAATGATTGTGTGATTCACTTAACAAAGTGGCAAAACTGGTTGTAAAACTCAGCATGACTCACTTAACAACTGGCTTGCTGGGCAATGGAAATTCTGGTCTCGGTCGTGACAGCAAGTCAAGGACTACTAAGATTTTTGTCTGGGTGCAAATTTAGGCCTTACTTCATCAAGAAGGAAAAAGAAAAGAAGAAAGGAAGCAAAATCTTCTCAGCAATTGTCTGTTGCAAAACTCTCCATAACTTTTGTGTAAGCATTTTGTGTAGGCTCAGTGAGCATCCCAGCTATTGATCAATTTCTGGTTTCTTCGGCTAAAGCCCTAGGACTTCATTGTCTCCTATTTCATGCAAGGGCAAGGAGAGCAGGAAGTATGGAGAATGCCATGTAGCCTTTCCTGTCCTTCCTGAAGGATTTCCGGGCATCGTGATTACTCTTTAATACTTCTAGACACTTCATGGTGTTTTGTACAGAAGACTTTGCTTAGAAAACAATTTTGCTCAATTAACCCCACCAAAGAAGTCTGGTGCAACTTTGACCTTGGAAGAAGACCATCTTGTCTATTTAATGGCCACCAGAAGATTCTCTTTGTGTTCTTGTTTCCACCCGATAACTTGAGGGCCAATGATTATATTCCTAATGATTTGAATTAACATTAGGAAGGTGCTTTGCTGGGCTTAGGATGCCATCTTTGCATCTATTTAAATATGCAGCTTCAGAGGTCAGTGGTATGTTGCTGATATTATCGCCATTATAACAAAAGAAATCAACAACAAATACTTTAAGGCAAATAGGGGGTTAACATACTTAGCTCTCTAAATTCATTGTTATAAAAAGTACTATCCCTCCAAAAGAAGAAAAGAAAAACTGGTTCAAAATTGAAGTTTTTCCTTCAATTATATTATTGCCCTTCCACAGAGAGGTTGACTGAAAATGAAAACAAAAGGCAGCTCACTCAAACACAAGACGCAGCTCAATCAACTTATATCACATGGAGTTCTCATTGCAAATCTATTTTGTTAAAAAAGAAAGGAAAGTTACTGGAATTAAAAATGAGGGAGCATAATCTGGGATTACGATCAAGGGGTACAAAACATTCCCTTATCTATTTTGTTAGACTTAGAGAAAAAAAACCTCCTCATTTCTTCATTAGCCATCCCTTTTCCATCTTATATGTTTTTGCAATGAATTCTGTTCCTAGTCCTAATATGGATGTTGTCATGGTTTTATTTTGATTCATCTCTACAGCAACGAACCTTCCAGTCGGTTCAGCAATTGTAGTCTTAATCAATATTCGAGTGATATTATTCATAATCATCAATGCCTTTTGAATGAACCCTCGAGGAAAGATGTTGTTTCACCTCCAAATATGGATGATGTGATGGTCTTATTTTGGTTCATCTCTACAGCTTTGAGCCTGTCTTTCGGTTCAGCGATTGTAGTCGGGACGAACATTGGAAGTATCTTATTGATAAGAGGCCTCCGTGCATTCTCAACATACCCGTGAAAACAGATATTGTTTCACCTCCAGTTTGTGGAAATTACTTTGTGGAGGTGGGAGAAGAATGTGACTGTGGCCTTCCTGCAGTAAGTTTTTTTTTTTAATCAACAAGAGTAATTCAAAGAACTTTCTCAAAAATGGGAATCCTTGCAAAACCATCTGGTTTCTAAGTGTTTGAGCCATCCAAGGGGTTGGTTTGTGAATGGCATAAGCTTGTGTCCTTTTTCTACATGCATGTATGAAGGATTTCTTGGATTTGGTTCACCAGTTGTAGAGGAATGGAGAACTGGTACCTCACTCCCATTTGGGGAAGCCGGCATATTTTTTTAAAAAATGGGTGACTGACCACTCCAAGAAAATCCTTCCCTACTAAAAACCCCTATTTTGTTGATATGGCCACATTATCTGTACCACTATTTTCTTGAGCTGCTTCCTCCCAGAATTTGTGATCTTTAATCTATATAATGTTTTTTATAAGAACAGTAATTTAGTAAAGTGTTCTCTTTATATTTTAAAATACACATGTAATGGTCTGTGAGAATGTCCTTGAGAGACCAAAGGAGGAGGAAAAATCAACTCAATGTTCAGATAAGAGGATATCTTAGTCTGCAGAAGCCAGGGGATTTGGCAAGCATCTCAAGCTGAACACTCCATCTCAATTTCTTGATCCATAAAGACGAGGTGGTAGAAATATACTTTCAGTATTGAAAGATTCTGCTACTGTAACCTTACAATCAAGGTAGTGTTAATACTCATGGTTGGTGCTTCTTCTCTGGACTACCTTAAAGTCTGACATCATGAGTAGAAAATCCCTCATGAATAAGAAAGGAATGTGGGTGTACATTGACTTCACAATTAGGTGAGGATGTTTTTATTTGTTTTATTCTTTTCATATAGAAGATATCAGATAAATCTGTTTCACATAGATATGCTATCCTCCATTTGAAATAACAGTTTGCGCATTTGCAAGCATGAACCCCATAAGAGGGAACACATTGCAGAAATGTCTTTTTCCTTGGGAGTTTCCCTCTTCAAAATAGACCAATTAAAAAAGACCAGGCTGAAAAGCCTATGACATCATTTGATATGTTTTGGTTTTCAGAATTGTCAAAATCAGTGCTGCGATGCTGCAACTTGCAAACTGAGACCTGGAACACAATGTGAAGATGGAGAGTGTTGTGAGCAATGCCAGGTAAGGCTTGTTTATTTTTAACACCAGGAGAGATTTTACCCTGCTCCATACTAGCCATATAGAAATGTAATATCTCTTGGCTGTTTACTATGATCAAAACATTTTAACCCTATTCCTATCCCTTCTTTCAGTTTATTTGACCCTTATGAACATATCCATCAGCAACACATTGTCTAGGTTTCAACATTTAACTTACTAATACATGTTAAATTCCTTTCTCTCTACCTCGTTTTTATAACCATTGATAAAAGGTATCCCATATTCTAAAGCAGGCATGTGAAACTGCCGGCCCATGGGCTGGATGCGTCACACCGAAACCACACGATATATCGTGCGACGTCATGTGATGTCGCAGGGTGACATGCCTGTTCTAAAGTTCTAAAGTATACTGAATCTTCTTTCTTTTTCATTTTCAATCTAAAATTTTTTTAATTAACTCTTCCTCCATTTTTCCAATATTGAGCGAATACAATTCTCGCTGCAGTTAATATATGTAAAATTAGATATATACACTCTTTCTCATAATTTCCTACAGTTATGCCTAACAAAAATCATTTTGGCTTAAAATCTATGTTTTTTAGTCATTTTCTCTAACCATATGTGTATTCTTGACCAGAATCTTTGGGACATGTCCACCGAAGATGGTAATAAGTGCCTGGTTTTTGTCTACATTTCCAACAGCTGCTAGATATGTTTTTAACCTCACCAGTGTTAAATGCCATCTGTAGAACATTTTGTATAGATATTCTTTGTACGCCACCACTTTTGTTATTTTAGCATTTCTTTCCCAAAGGCTTTGCCAGTTTTCTAGTTTTATTGTTGTGTCCAAAAATCTTTGCCCATGTTATCATTGTTTCTTTAACTTGTTCCTCTTTAAACTTAACATATATTTATAAAGTTTCTTAATCAATTTTTCATCTGATATCAGTAGTATCTTGTCAAATTCTGTCTGTTCTTTATAAAATCCAGATGTTTTAACATCTTTTTCATATCTCGTTTGGATTTGCAGATATGGCCACCATGGTAGGTCAATACCCTGTTCTTCTAATTCTTGTCTGTGTTTTAATTTCCCTTCATTATTCAAAATGTCTTTATAAGTCACAATTTTCTCATAGTTAGTTAGGTTTGGGTGAACAAATGCTTCCATTGTTGAGAGCCATCCAGGTATTTTCATGTAAACTTTCACTTTTACTTTTTCCCATTCTAAAAAAACTGCATTTCTTATATAATGATATTGAAGGTATCTGTGTATTTTATTGTTCCCATACTATAGAAAGGCATGCCACCCAAGTTGTAAGTCATGTCCCTCTAGGTATAGTAGTCTTTTATCTCTATAGTAGTCTTTTATCTCTTTTAGTCATGTTAATACAGCTGCTTGATAGTATAAAGTCCAGTCGGGCAGTCCAAATCCTCCATTTTCTTTCGCTTCTTGAAGCATTTTCAGTCTAATTCTAGCTTTTTTTCCTTGCCAAATGAATTTCAGTATTAATTTATTTAGTTCATCAAAGACGTTTTTCCTAATCTTATAGGTATTGTTTGAAATAAAAAAAGTATTTTTGGTAGAATATTCATCTTCACTGTTGCTATTCTCCCCAGCATGGAAAGTTGTAAGTTTTTCCATTTTTCCAAGTCTAGTTTTATTTTAGTAATTTTACGTAATTGTCTTCTGTTTTATTTCGGCATGTTAAATCATGCCTGTGAAAATAATATATTTGTTCTTTGACTGAGTTTGCATGGAAACCCAGTTTAAATAAGAGTGGGCAATGTTTGAGATTGGTGCCCTAACTCAGCTTCCTAACTTTCTGGAAGCTTCTAAGAGGTCGCTGGTAATGCTGTGACATTTTTCTCTCTGAGCCTTTTAGGATGGAAAATAGGTGCAGGAGACTTCTGGAAGTAAAGTTGCCTTTTTTTTTCCCCTTAAGTTCTCTACCTGCTCTCTAAAGCTCCAAATTCAGGTGTTTTTGTGGCGCATTCTGGAGGTGCTGCAGGACCAATGAAAGAAAGGTGCTAGTTCCTCATTCCTTCTTTCTTTGTGGGATCCCAGTGGACTCTGTAATGAACTTTTTGAGCAGAGTGGCCCAAAACATTTTGTTATTTGCATATTTCCATCACAAGCCTAGTTTCACAGCAGTAGAAGGGAGCCACGTGTTTTTCAGCATGTGACAGAAAATTCTATGAATGCTTCTTCCCCTGTAGAGAAATAAAAATATATCATGAGAAGTTCAGCAATTCACTTTTTGCTGCTTTTTCATGGCAGCCCAATTGATTTTCCCTTTATGGTTGGCCAACAGGTAGAACTTGTTTTTCAGGAATTGAGCCTTTCATTGCAATCATTTCCCCACAACAAATAAGACAGACTGGGACTTCTAGGCACCACACACAGTTGTAGCAGGGCAGGGATGCCTTGCTTGGTGATCCTCTAGACAGATGAAGAGGAGGTTTTGAAATGTGTTATGAACCATGGTTTGACTCTTTGATATCTGCTGCTGAAGAGTGATAGCTGGAGTATTTTTGATTCTCACCCACAGTTTAAGGGGGCAGGAACAGAATGCCGGGCAGCAGAGAGTGAGTGTGACATTGCTGAAAGCTGCACTGGCCAATCTGCTGAGTGTCCCACGGATGACTTCCAAAGGAATGGACAACCATGCCTAAACAACAATGGTTACTGTTACAATGGGAAGTGCCCCATCTTGACAGACCAATGTATTTCTTTCCTTGGGCCAAGTAAGTCAACCTTAGGATTTCAGAATATAAAATATATATCTTATAAAAGATTAAGACATTGCCATTAATGAAAGATATTTTTATCCTTTGTATCCATAGTAAATTATCATTAGATTTCTGTTCTGTAACAGAGTTGGAAGGAGCCTTGGAGGTCTTCTAGTCCACCTCCCTGCTCAAGCAGGAAGCCTTATACCATTTCCAATCTCTTCTTTAAAAAATCTCCAGTGTTGGAGCACCCACAACTTCTGATGGTCTTTTCCAGAAAGAATAATTTTTCAAGATGAAGTTCTTTCTTTGAAGGCTTTAGAGCCCAGCCCTCCAGATCTTTTGTTTTAAAGTTCCAGTCATCCCTAGAGAACTTGGCTAATGGTCAAAGATGATGGCAGTTGTCGACCAGAAATCTGGAAAGATGGACTTTGGGGGAAGGATGCTTTTGTGGGTTGTCGATACATGCCCAAATTGGACAAAAATCTGAAACAATCTCAATAAAAGATAATGTAATTTGATTATGGGACTGTATGCTAAGAATATTCAAACCCTGAGATTGAAACTTTCTTTGCATTTGGCATAATAATTGAAGAGACAGATGTTGGGGATGTGATTCTTGTCACTGATCACTCCTGACTTTCAGACTATTCACAAAATTTTCAGAATGGTTTTATGTTGAAAAAGGAAACTGAAAATAAGTTCCCTTTTTCATATAAAGAAGACAGTTTTCAGTAATCAGGGAGATTTATCTTGGCCATAGATCAGTGGTGCAGTGAGGCTTTGCATATAGAAAGCCCAAACACAGATTTCAGGTCACTAATTAAAAGAGTCAGAATTAACAGAATAACTGAGTTGGAGGAGTCTTGGAGGTCTTCTAGCCCAACCCCCTGCTCTAGCAGGAAACTGTATACCATTTCCAATCTCTTATTTAAGAGATTGTAGCACCCACAACTTCTGAAGGCAATCCATTCCACCGATTAATTGTTCTAACACAAAATTTCTCCTGATTTCTAGGTTGGTTCACTCCTTCATTAGCTTCCATTCATTAGTCTTGTTCTCCCTTCAGGTGTTTGGAAAATAGCTTGGCCCCCTCATCTTTGTGGCAGTCCCTCAAATATTGGAACACTGCTATCATGTCACCTCTAGTCTTTCTTTTCATTAAATTAGACCTATCCAATTTGTGCCACTGTTTTTCATAAGTTTTAGCCTCCAATCCCCTAATCATATTTGCTGCTTTTCTCTGTGTTCTTTCTAGAATCTCAACAACATTTTTTATATAATGGCGAACAAAACTGGATGCAATGTTCCAAGTGTGATCTTACCAAAGCATTATAAAGTGGTACTAACATGTCACATGATCTTGATTTTATGTCTCTATTAATATAGACTAGGACTGTGTTGGATTTTTGGCAGTTGCAGCACACTGATGGTGCATATTTAAGTGGTTGTCCACTAGGACTCCAAGATCCCTCTTATAGTTATAGTACTGAGCCAGGTATCACCTATTCTGTACCTGTGATTTGGTTTTTCTTGCCTAAATATACTTTTTTTCACCATTGAATTCATTTTGTTAGATAGGATCGAGTGTTGAAGTCTCTCAGGATCCTCCTGGATCTTAAGCCTATCTTCTGGAAGGATGGCTACTCCCACCAGCTTGGTGTTGTCTATAAATTTGATGAGTTGCCCTTCTGTCCCCTTGTCTGCATTGTTTATGAAGGGTCAGATGGCATGCGATGGTGATTGGGAATCCAAATTGCAAATCAGAACATTGTTCCACTTGTTTGATCAATCCATCAATTGGATTTATGGAGGATGTTATTTAGACAATAAATGGATACTTGCTGGATTATTTCCATTGCTCTCAGTTCAAACAAAGAAATCTTTATTTTGGTCAGTTAAATAGCATAAAATGATGTAACATTCCAAAGAATGGAAATAGCTCACTCTTTTGCAAGTAATCCAGCTATATTCAGAAAGGCTTATGCCCAGGAATTGACAGGCCTCAAACCAAGAATGACACATGATGGTTCTTACAAGCTGAGTTCTTTCTTCTTTCACTCCTGTAGACAAAATCTTGCTGGATTAAGGACTCTACTATCTGCATCTACAATACACTCTGTGGATAATTAGGGAGGAGCTGTCTTCGCCCTCTTTCTCTCACATGTAATATTGGGGCTGAATTGCCTCTTATTCATCCTGACTGCACCCCCTCCCACCCAGGGATCCCCCTCCTCACTGCATTCGAGCACAGGAATGTATCTACAATAGTGTTAAACTTGGAAAATGGAGAATGAGGACACAGAGGAACGAAGCTGTACTCAGATTCCCCTCCAGTCATTGATTTACTGCAGGGTCTTCTGCAACTTGCATAAAGTGGCTTCAGCTTTTATGTCCATAAAATGAAATAAGCCTGTTTAGTGTAGTACTGTATTAAGCAGAGAATGATTCAGTCAAAATGAGGATTAGATAAATAATGGATTACGAAATAATAGATTACAAATAAGCAAATATTAACTAGCAAATAATAAGCAACTGATCTCTCCTCTGAGATCTCTTAAGCCATTCTTTATCCTTCTGGCATGTTACACACTCAGGTATTTGTCTTGGTTCCTCACTCCTTCCTGCAGGTGGAACTGTGGGTCCAGATGGATGTTTTAATAATAACCTGAAAGGCAAAGGTAATTTCTACTGCAGAAAGGAAAACGGTAGAAAGATTCCATGTGCACCACAGTAAGCAATCTAAATTATTTCCTGCTATGATGATGATATAAAATAAGGATAATATAAAAAATATTTTTATGTCCACATCTGTTGGAACTTGATTCTATCACCTGGCTAAAACAACAGAAATGTGAGTCAATTTCTGAATGGCTAATTTTCCTTTGTTTTCCATCTTGGGTTACAAGGTGGAACAAAAGCTGGGTGTAAAAGGAGTGCCATGAGGATAGAAGTGCCTTTTAAAAGATTGTGTCAGAAAGGAGAGATACTCCTTGACCTACAACTATTCATTTAATGACTTCAAAGAAGTGACACACAACTAGTCCTTGCACTTACAACTGTTGCAGCATGTGAGTCATGTAAGCAAAATTTGGGTGCTTGGCGACCAACATATATTTATGAGGGCTGCAGTGTCCCAAGGTCACATGATCACCATTTCCGACCTTCCCAGCCAGATTCTAATAAACCAAAGTCAATGGGGGAAGTCAGATTTGCTTAACAACCATGTGATTCATTTAACAATTGTAGTGATTCAAAAAGCTCATAAAATTTGGTGCAGCTCACAGCCTTGATTAGAAATGGAAATTCTTCACCAATTTGTGATCATAAGTCAAGGGCTACACTATAATCAGCCTTTCTCTTTGGGAGGACATCACCCACCTTATTTACCTTGCATATTACTGAATAAAGCCTAGTTGGCTGAGTGTATGGATTGCATTTAGTCATAAATCATGATTTAGAAACCACAATGGCTAAATTTGCACCACATCTTGAACCCAAACTAAACAATAACACACATTTTCTTTTAGTAATGTGTGTAAATCCAAACTCTACCTTTAGCTCTTACACAAACACACAGATCCCTGTGCCATTGTTTCCCGTTAAAACAAGGGAAGTTCAATCTTTATTTCTCTTTACTCTCATATTTTTATTAAATTGAAATGGAATAATAGCCATTTTTCAGGGCAATTTCCCTTTCCAATGTTTAGTGCAGTTGCCCCAATCTTTAGATTTCAACTCCCATCATCCCCTGTCATCCAATGATCAGAGATTATGAGAATTTTAAGCCAGAGAACTGGAAAAACCAAGCCTCCTAAAATCTACTTTAGGAGTTTTCCTGGTGGATAACAGATGCATTTCTTGCTCTTAAGATAAGAATCCTGACTCATCCATCTTCACCCTCAAAAACAGGGAAATCACTGTGAGCCAGTTGGAGATACAGGAACTGTGTTCTCTGTTTTGCTCCAAACCTTGAAACACTTTGTGAGATTTTTCAGTTATGTGTTGGGGGCAACGAGTTCCTACTGAGATTGAGCAAAGGTCTGGTTCTCCATCTCTAATTAAACACACACACACAACACACATAAAGGTTAACCAAGATCAAGAATGTTGGCAGAGTCACTCATGCCCTGCTCCCAGTTGGATTACTGCATAGCGTTAACCCTTGAAGAGCGTTTGGAAGCTACAACTGATACAGAAGGCAATGACAATGTGACTCCATTGTTACACAAGCTGCACAGGTAGCCAGTGTGCTTCTGGAAAATTCAGGGAGTTGGTCATGACCTTTAAAGCCCTTTATGCCATGGGTCCAGGATATCCGTGGAACTGCCTTACCTTGTTGGGACTAACCTGCCCCAGTGCTTCCGTGGAAAGGGCCTGCTTCGTATTCTGCCAACCAAACACTTTTGGCTAGTGAGGTGCAGGAGAAAAGCCTTTTCTGCTGTGGCCCCCCTTGGCAATATTTTCTTGTCAGGGGTGAGGTCTGCCCCAGAATTCTGGCCTCCCGGAACAGCCTATAAGCTTGGCTCTACCTGGGTCCCCAGCATGGGCCTGCTATGTTGGGGAGGGCTGACTGGGTAGAGAAGGTATTCTCACCCACAGACTGCCCTTCATCTTGGTTTTTAATTTTTAACTTTTATTCTAATTGTTTTTAGCCATTTCTAACTTTTTATTGTATTGTAAGTCACCCAGGATATGGGGGCATGGGAAACAAACAAACAAAATGCTTGCAAATAAAGAACCGGCCTCTCATTACTCCATTCTTGTTAATTAGTATGAATTCACTGTTTCCTTTTCAGGGATGTAAAGTGTGGCAGGTTATTCTGCGTACAGGGTCCAATTGGAAAGAAAATTACATGCCAAAGCACATATTCACCAGATGACCCAGACTATGGAATGGTTGATCATGGAACAAAATGCGCAGATGGAAAGGTTAGTAAAAGTTTACCGCTAATCTGTGTGCTCTAAAGTCTGATTCCACAAGGTGATCACTAAAAATTTCACAATGGATCTTGCTGAAAGCTGGTTTAGATTTTCCACACTACAGTGAATCTGCATAGAAGAAAAAGCATCCATCTAGCCTTCTTTTGGTTGTTGTTATTTTGTTTTTCCTTCAAAGAACAAGCCCCAACAAATGAAGTGGATGTCCAGGGCTGTTTCTTTCTTGCAAGAACAAAACGCCTGGCCTTCTCAGAGCCTTGTGCTTTTCTCTCACAGCATCTTCTGGACAGACTGTCAAGAGACAGTCCTTTCTCTTAACTTGTAGGCATCTCCATTGGGAAGGTGGAAGAGAGAAATGAAAGAATCAGGGCACAGCTGGTTGTGACCTAAAGGTTACCAGTTCAATGAATCTATTTAGAAGTGCTGAAGCAATCCCAAAGCTTATCTTAAAGGATCAGGAATCATTTCCCTTGATTTTTATAACCTGAAAGAAGTTTGGGTTAGTTCTAAGGAATGACAGAGTTTAGTTGTGTAGGAAAGTGCTGTCTTACTCCATTGATAATCTCTTACTTTGACTTTCAGGTCTGCAGCAACAGGCAGTGTGTTGATGTGACTACAGCCTACTAATCAACCTCTGGCTTCTCTCTGATTTGATTTTGGAGATCCTTCTTCCAGAAGGTTTCACTTCCCTCTAGTCCAAAGAGATCCATCTGTCTTTATCCTACTAGTAAATCACCCTTAGCTTCCAGATGGCATCCAAATTATGCAATATTTCTTCTCCATGTTTAATCTGATTATCTTTTGCTGTAATCAAACTTTTTTTCCCACCACAAAGCTCCATGGGCATGTACAACACTAAGGGCTTATTTGCTATCAAGAAAAAAAATGGCCATTTTACCGTTTGCCAATTGCAAAACACATTTAATGCAACAGGTTCTGCCTTTTGAGCTGGGGTATTCGAAGTCAATGCTTCCTCTCCCACAATTTCACGCTGTAGCTGCTTCCATCAATAAACTAACTATTCTCATTCTGCATTTTGTAAAGGCTCATTTTTCAAATCTGGTTTGCTGGAGTAAACCGCATCAAGAACTTGCATGCAATCATGCGGAAACCATCAGGTGAATTATCTACTGGCATTAAGAAAGCTGGATTTAGCTTATTCACAATCACCTGTCTCATTCTGAGACATTCTATCTCAGAAAGAGCCCTAAAGAAAAATCATCCACATATTACAACACAGTCCCAAATGTGCTTTTCAAAAGGCAACTGGACTTTCTTGGTTTTTCCTTGAAAATGTTTCTTCAGTTCTTCAAGTCCAGTTGCCTTTTGAAAAGCATCTTTGGGAAACCATGACCTGGATGATTGGGAATCTCCATAGATACTGCAATACAGTGCTATTTGTTCCTGGGTGGTGGTGGGGTGTCTATCTGAGTAGGTCAGAGACGAGAGCTTCACCAAAAATGGTTGGGTTATTTTCAAATCCACTATAGCTGAGTTCCCTGTACATGTTCATTGTCAGACTACTGAAAAGCAAACACCTCTGGCTAGTTCGTTGAAGGTGAATAGAGAAGAAGGCATCCTTTAAGTCCAATACAGTTAAATCTTGCGAAACCAAGGTGAAATCAAAGTATAAGAATTTAGCACTGTAGGGTGAATTGTCACTGTGAGTAAACTGATAATTCTCAAGTCCAGAACCAGATGAAAAGACCCATCAGGTTTCTTATTGGTTTGGAGAAGATGGATTGATTATATTGAGTTGAAATATGGAACCAAAAAATATCATCTGGTTTTTGAATGAATTTTTGATTTTATTTATAATTATGTTAATATTATGGCTTTTAATAATTGTATATTTGTTTTAAAAGAGAGTTAAAGGAAGTTATAGATTTGTTAGATTAATAGTTGATTAATGTTAGTTAGATTATGATTATTTCATTGTTAATCCTGTGATTGGCTCTGGGAAGTGAGGGGGGGGATGGGGGGTTGGGTTTGGGGGGAGGGGGGATTTATATTGTAAAATTTTATAAAACTTTCAATTAAAAAAAAAAAGACCCATCAGGTTTCTTAACTATTTAGTTATTTGCCATATCATATTTCAGTAAAATGGAACACAGGTAAAATACAAAACATAATTTCTTAACTGGCAGAGCTGGACAATGGAAGGAAGTTTTCCCTTTCTTCAAAAGATCATACTGTAGGAAATGATTAATGATTGGCCTCAGTCCTGCTCTAGCTTTCTCAGGAAGAGCATACTGTTTAATTTGCACAGGTTCACCTCCTGGTTTCAGAACAATTTCCACAGGAGAAATAGGCTTAGTTCATCCTGGATTGCCTGAAGCCCAGACCCATGACATAACTGCATTTAAGATAGACTGCCTTGGATGGGGGAACTCTTTCCTGTGTGGGGATTTCAAGACAGGCAAAAACAAGTCTCCAGGATTCATGTTTTGGCAAAAACATTGTGATTCTTCCTTGGTCAAAAGAAAGAGTGGCTTGCCATTTAGAAAGTAGGATGGGGCAGTCATTCACATTCAAAAGGCCATGTGTCAACTGTTCTCTCCAACATCCATTTCCAAAAGTTGTAAAAGGGGTTGATGTCGTATTATCCAACAACAGGTTGTAAAAGGGGTTGATGTTGGATTATCCAACAACAGGAATAACTTGCTTAGATTTAAGAGCCAGTGATTTAGTGACCCATTTAGCACCCATATCCACAAGGAAATAAATCTTTTCACCTCCCACCATAGCAGATACCAATGGCTCAGGAGACACTAGGGTTGTTTGAAGACTCCGCACCCCTGTCTGCTTCATTCTTTGTCTTTTGGCATAAGAAAATATGGGCTGGTAGACATGTGCTGACTGTCTGCAGTCTGAGCAAGTCCCCTTTCTGAATTCAATGGGCCTGCACCTTGCCAATGTCCTATTTTCTTACAAAAAGCACATTGATGCTTCTTAAGCGACATAAGCCTATGACTGAAAATCAGGCTTGTCAGATGCTATATTTTTCCTATCCTGCTCTGTGGAG